GAAAAAAGCATAGATTATAAAACAAAATCCAGCTAATTTCCAATAGAACAAATTATAATTTTCTATATAATTAACTGATTTAATGTGGAAGAAAAATGATTGAGGAAAGAAAATGCCACAGCCATTCTCACTAAAAGAGAAAACTAACCTGAACAACTCCTGGTTCTTCTTTGTTTGCATTTATCTTATCAGATATCAGGACAGGCTCACTTTTCTCACAACTTTCTTCACTAATGAGCGTGTCTGCATAGTTGGGCTGGGGGAAGATCAGGTGGCTTTTCCGAGAGTCAGCGGTGAGAGAGACTTCATGGGAATATGTCTGCAGGAAAGCCTGCACCCCATCGACACCCACAAAGTGAGAGGTGGACATGCTGGCCAACCTGCCTCTGGAAGTCTGAAGTAGATGTGACATGTACCAGCGGCGCAGCTTGAGTGCCAGCAGCACGATGACAAAGGCCAGGAAAACACAGGAGACTGCGGCCACTGCCACCACCAGATAGAGTGTGAGGTCTGAATCATCAGGGTTAATGGGGGTCCTTATGCTGCCCAAGTCAGCCAGGACATCGGGAATACTGTCTGCCACAGCCACAGTAATAGTGACAGTGGCTGAGAGAGGGGGCTGACCATGGTCCTGGACAGCTACCACAAGACTCTGCTTGAGTGTGTCTTTGTCCAGCAGGGCCCTTGCTGTGCGCACCTCTCCAGTGTGTAGCCCTACTGAGAAGAGCCCTGGCTCACTGGCCTTGAGCAGGCGATAGGATAACCAGGCGTTCTGCCCTGAGTCTCTGTCCACTGCCACAACTTTTGTCACCAGGTATCCAGGCTCTGCAGACCGGGGTGTCAGTTCTACTCCAGTGGAACCATCAGTAGGAAGGGCAGGGTGCAGAATTTCAGGGATGTTGTCATTCTGATCCAGCACAAACAAGTTGAGTGACACATTTGTGCTCAGTGGAGGGTTCCCACTGTCCCTTGCTGTCACCAGTAGCTTCAGGTCTCTCAACTGCTCATAGTCAAAGGATTGCAGAGCATACAAGACACCGGTGTCAGAGTTAATAGAGACATAAGAGCTTAGAGGTGCTCCCTCAAATGTATATTCAGCCAGAGAGTAAGTGACTTGAGCATTGGCTCCACAGTCTGGGTCATGGGCAGTCACAGAGAAGACTGAAACACCTCTGGGGTTGTTTTCTGGGATGGAGGTGGTGTAGGAAGCATGAGGGAATGCAGGAGGGTTGTCATTGATGTCTGTTACTTTCAGGAAGATCTGGTTTTCTGTTGCCAGGGGTGGGGTTCCACTGTCAACGACAGTAACTGTGATATTATAATCTGAAATCTCTTCTCTGTCCAGGGTTCTGGTTGTTAATAGGTGATAGTAATTATCAACTGACTTTTCCAATTTGAAAGGTAAATTCTTGGGGATAGAACATGAAATCTCACCATTCTCTCCAGAATCACTGTCATGTACACTAAAGAGTGCAATTATAGTTCCAGGAAGACAGTCTTCAGAAACAGAACTGCTGAGAGAGGTGAGTATCACTTCTGGAGCATTGTCATTCACATCTTGTACCGTGACCAGCACATGAGCGCTGGCAAGAAGAGCACCTCCATCCTGAGCTACTACTTCCATGAGGTAGAATCTAGATTCTTCATAGTCCAGCGATTGCACAGTTGAGATTTCCCCCAGGTTGGAATCAAGCTGGAAAGTCTTGGAAATTATGTCTTCTTCATTGCGAAAAAAGTAGGTCACTTTTCCATTTATTCCCTCATCCGCATCCGTGGCGGTTAGTGTGAGTAGCCGGGTGCCCACAGGTATATTTTCTGGGACACTCACTCTGTATTCGGATTGAGTGAACAGGGGTGCGTTGTCATTTGCGTCGAGGACCGTCACGCGAATACGCGTGGTGCTAGAGAGGATTGGTTCTCCGCCGTCTAAAGCTGTGAGGAGGAGATCGTGAATAGCCTCTTTCTCTCGGTCCAGGGGCCTCTCTAACACAAGCTCCGGGTACTTTTGCCCATCAGATCCGCTCTTCACATCCAGAGAGAAATGCAGATTGGGGCTGAGCTGGTAGCTCTGGAGGGAGTTCACACCCACATCAGCATCTCGGGCGAAGGGAAGCACTAACCGCGTTCCTGCAGCCGCATTTTCATTAATTTTTACTTTTAACTCTTCATCCCGGAATCGTGGGAAGTTATCATTAATATCAATTATTTCCACTTCTACTCCATAAATTTTCATTTTATTCTCAACCAATATGTTAAAGTTCACCACACACCGAGCGCTCTGAGCGCACAGCTCCTCCCGGTCTATCCTGCCCGCGGTGACCAAGCTGCCGCTGCGCCAATGCAGAGAGAAAAGCTGCGTCCTACCTCTGGAGACGATGCGGACGCCGCGCTCCGCCAGCTCCCGGGGCTCCAGCCCCAGATCCTTGGAGATATTGCCCACGAAAGACCCTTTGTCCAGCTCCTCGCGCACTGTGTAGTGGATCTGCCCGTTTCCTGGCTCGCACAGCGTCTCCAGGAGCATGAAGAACAGAAGCAAGTCTCCGCAGCTCCACAGCCTCAGGGGTCCCGCCATTGCTTCCTTTTCCCTCAGTTTTCTCTTATTCTTGGTTCAGTCTGCAGTTTCCTTATTTCTCTGACGCCAAGGGGAGCATATTTCCTAGCGGAATTGAGGTAGGCAGCTGTCCCCAGGAGCTTATCCGGTCAGTGTTAAGTATCAAAGGAGCAGAGTCGAGTCGCTTCGGAGACAGCTTCTTTTCCACTTTGGTGAACAGCGACGCTCAGCGCCTTAACCAGTTACTACACCAACCCTACTTTTATTTCCTGTAAACTTAGTTGTATTTTTATTTCCAATATTTTTGCCCTATCCTTAATGTGTTACTTTATGACACTGCTTATTCTTAAGATTTAATTCTGAAACAATGAAAGACCTCCATAAGCCCTGAGATCAATATTTGATTCTTTACTTCCTTAGAAAAGTTTTATTTATGTGCCATTGAGCCTATGTCTTTATTTACCTCTTAGCCATACCATGTTTGTTTAATCAGGACACTGGAATTCTTATTGTTAATAGTTCTGAGATTTTATAGTTTTATTGTATGTGTGGAAGCTGCATTTGTGCATAATAATACCAACAAAATAAACTGAGCTCAGAGTATACCTTTGAAAAAAGGTCTACTGACTTATACAAATTACATTAACTATCATGTACAGAAAAATACAATTTTTCATTACTTGTGACATCTTTGAGAAAGAGTCCAGAGTTGCCATCTAAAAATATGGCACTATCTTAATCTGACAGTTTGGTGTTGGGTTTACTGTGCATTATTTATATTTTTTATTATCATATTCATATACTTGTAGTTAGAACTTTTACAGTGACGGTTCTTGGTGGGAATCCATATGGGGATGGTGGGGGGCAGGTAGCTTGTGATCTATGCAGGAAAGAAAGCCTTGATACCTACAGAGCAGTAGTGAGTAGTGTTTTGTTGTTGCTGTTGTTGAGACAGATATTTAAAGTTATGACCTTTATATGATAATAAAGAAAACCTCATAGCTGAAAAAAATTGACATTTGACAAAAGAGTCTATCAAGTGAGAAAAGTGATTTTAACCTAATGACACCTTGACAGGAAAAATTTTAAAATAAAGATATTTTGTATAGTTTTAAAATTCAAAATAAGTTTTAAACATTTTGTAGAAAATGACATAAATATAGGTCACAAATTTTATCAATGTGGAACTTTTCTCAAGAGCAATTTATTAATATGCATGGGGGAGAATGATTTCTCACATTTATTAAAATGTACTTTTCATAGCAAACACCTCAGAACTCACAACTTCCCATCCTTTAAAAACAGAAATGTGTGATCTCAAGACATGCAGTTTTTTTAACATATGTCAGGTCAGAGGAATACTATAAATAATGTCCTTCTATGCTCTCTTGTTAACAAGTCATGGCCCTGGATACAGTGCCACCCCAGTTTCCACAAACTAGTATGATGAGGACTCTCTTTACCCTGAAGCACTATGAGTGTTTTTTTTTTTTTGTCTTTTTGAGACAGGGTCTCACTATGCAGTTCAGGCTGAACTTGAGCTCACTTTGTAGCCCAGTTTGGTCTCAAACTCACAAGGATCCTCCTGCCTCAGCCTCCTGGGTGCTGGGATTACAGGCATGTGTTACCATGCCTGGCCACTATGAATGTTAAAGGAAGTATAACTAAAAATTTAAGAACAACCCTGAAGGAGAAATGAAGCACTTAAAGCACCAATAGGGACAAAGCTTCAGAAGGGAAGAGTGTACAGATGAGGAAGTAAAAGAAATATCAACATAATTATGGACAAATAAAGCTCACACTTTAGACAGCTATATTTAAGATTTGGTTAGATGGGATTAAAAGACAGAATATTGTACACAACTGATTCATGAGACAATGAAACAGGTAATAGGGCATCCCACTCCAATTACACTTAAGAATCTTTGAAACCCAAAGTGAAATTAAATGAATTAAATTAAAACTCACCTTTAAAATAGTATCAGAGCCAAAGGGCACCCCAGTGTCTCCATGATTTGTACCTTGAGCCCAAGAAGCATCTTCACAGAGCAGATCCTGAGGAGGAGCCATTTCCGGAGTCACGTTCAGAAAATTAAACTCTGCTTTAGCCGATTGTGAGGCAACGCACATTTTGTAGGAATAGGGTATTGTTCCTTCACTGTAATTGGGGTGAATCCCAGATCCAGACTTAGAGCTGAGACCAGCCTGAAAACAGCTCCAGGCAGCTGGGCTGGAGGAGTGCCTCAAGCGCAGAGCAATTGCTAGAATCACAGCGAGAAGGAAGAGCACAGAGATCAAGGCCAAGGCCACCACCAGGTAAAACTGCAGCTCCTCCTG